CTACAACTTTGAAGATATCTGTCTGCTGTGACGTGGCTAAAAACAGAGCACGTCTTTGAATTTACGTTCATTGTTTTACATCTCAAAATGTTTTAGCGTATAATTAAAGCCTACAAATAAAAAAGGATTTACTGTGACATGACTCAACTTAGATGTTTTACAGAAGGAAATGTACCAGTGTTTTCGTAGCACTTAGATAAAGCAATGCCTATCCAAATTAAAATGACAAAAATGAAATCAGATTTAAACAGTGGCTGAGAAAGCTAAGAGCCGACATGCTGATTAGTTGGCACGGATCTGCAGCCGCTCGTCCAAATGGATTCTCTCTGGTGGACCTCACTCCTCCTCACAGCCTCCCACCTCCATGTTTGCTGCTTCATCCAGCTGGCTGATTTCTGCTGGGTCCACTTCCTTTGACTCTCAGTCATCATCTTGGTAACAGCGGACAGTTGGTGGGCAGAAAGAAGTCTGCTGGAGCACTCAAGGTCTGCAGACCCAACTGGCGTGTGCGAGGCAGATTATTCTTGTAGTGAAACTGGCCCTGAAACAGCCTGGATCCCGTGGCTGATTAGTCTCAGACTGTTATTCTGGCAGGGACGCTGTTGAGCTGAGAGTCTCCTGTTGGCTTGGCTGAGCGAGAGGCTCGGGCTGGTTTGTCCAGGCGTGGATGCTACAGTTTGGCTTGCTCAACAGAGAAGAAGTGTGGAGCGACTGCGATGAAGAGGAGAGGCGCAGGACGTGGAAATGGGCTGCAGAGAAATGCAGGCTGCCTTGTAACTACTTTGTGTTTTTTAACTTTTGTTTAACTGAGTAAGTTTCTCTGGGAGTTATGCTCTTTTTTTCTCCAGCAATTCCTCGAGCGAGCGCAGTCACGCGGTTACACACGATTGCACCTGGAAACTGCACAGTCAGGTCGTCTTCATGGCCGTGCTCTGTTGTTATACACAGCATAGATTGGTTGAAGCGCATCAGTTTGTGTAAGTTAACATGCTATTGGAAATAATTGCACAGACTCTGCGTTCGTGTGTGTTGCGTTTCACAGTAATTGTCGCTGCCTGCAGGCTATAGCTGACTGAAGGCCTGCCCTGTGGAGCAAACCACACATGGCTAGTTTAGCTGTTTCAACATAGAATGACATTTTCATTGCTGTTCAACCTCCTGCCAAAATGATTATATTAAAGGTTTAAATGTTGCTGCCTGGTAATAGAATGATAATAGTGCCTATAATGTCTCAGTTCAAATCGCTTACCTCTGCTGTCATCTGGCCCGGAGAGTCTCCTGGGTGTCTGGAAACCAATTTAAAAGTTCTGGGAGAAACCAAGTTGTAATTACTGGAGGGGTGTTTATTAAACTTTAAGTACAGACTCCCTATTTTTATGTGGGATGCGCAATGAAGCTTCAGATGATGCACGTACTTGATGTTGAAAGTGTGAACGTTGATTTTTATGTTCTTGTATTCTTGATGTAAGCTTAAAGTCAGAGGTCACTGTTAGTTTGCACCGTGAACCAGGTGTCAGCTGTAATGTGGACAATAATGAAGATTGCATTTTGACAGATTATCGATGCTTATAGATATCACACACTTAAGAAAACACAAACATTCAACATTTTTGTTATGGAAACTTCTATAGTTACATGAGATCTGTTTCATTTAACAGACAAGTCAACGTGAAAATACAAAAACAAAACTGCTTTTTCCTGTCAACTGTCACAAATTGCATCTTATTTTAAAAAATATAGTTACATTATGAACTTGAATTTAACAATTAAACCAGTTACTATTATTTACGTTGATATTATTTATTATTTAATATTTGTGAAAATGAGATAAATTTGTGATTTAACAGTGTTTTTATGACATTTTCTTATGAACATTCACTGTTAAGGGTTTTTTAATTATATTTTACAACAGATATGTAAACTTACGTTCTATTTTTCTGTTTCAGCAATTTTGTTGATATTTTTGTATATTTTAAAAATAAAGAAAATTCCATCAAATAAAAGGTTAAAAGTCCAAGAAATTACAGATTTGTTTTCACATGTATGTGTTATGTGATAATCCATCTTGACGTGACCAATGAGCCGCTCTGCAGCAGCACTATAAGAGGTTCTGTAGGGAAACATGGTTTAGGACTCCAAGAAGCTGGAGGTTGTCTGTGGGAATTACTTTGTAGAAATTTAATTAATTATGAGTTTGTCTGCACACACAATAAAAACTGAAAAGGTAAACACCCTGCTGCTGCATTTTTACCTAATCCTGAGGCACTATTGATGCGCTCCGTGTCAAAATCAATTATCATTTGCCTTTTCAGGTTTTATTGCGTTACCAAACCCTCTAGCTGTTTTAAATTCCATCATCTGCTAAACACATGAGCGGACGAGGTCTTAGTCTCTTTGTCTGAACCTGTTGGAAGCTGTTGCATGTATCCACAGTATGGTCAGAAAGCAAGGATGGCACAATGTACAGCGAAAGGACAATTTCTGATCTAGTCTTGGTGCGATTTTCTGCATTTAATTATTGTATTCAACCTGACAGAAAACTTGGGGACAGGATAGTTTTCCAGCTTAAAATCCATGATGGGTTTGTGAGGCTTTTGGCAAAAATGGTTTAATCAAAAGTGGGGTATAATAATTATGAAAACACTTAAAATGCCCCTTAAGGGTGTAGAAAGGGGGTTCCTAAAAAGCCCAATATGTTTTATAAAAGGAAAAGCTGGGGAGACATTTTTGTGAAAAGTCAGGGTTCAAATAGTGCACAGGTACGGTGTGTTTTCAGATTTTAAAAATAGCATTTTTATTAAAAGCATTTCTCAGCCTGAGATATAACCAAGAAATAAATTGCAGCCCATAGCTTCTGTAAAAGCTGCTGAAAAATGTGATCCCACTAATTTCACTAAAAAAACCCTCGAGATGAATCAGAGCCGCACAACGGCTACAAGCCCAGAAATATAATGAGACGAGACACTACTTCAAACACTGTTATTCTTGTGTTTTCAGTTGTGGGAAAAAAAAATTAATATACACAAGAGCTTTAAGCTTTTATAAGAATTCTTAGTGCTTCACTTTCTTTTAAGGGATCATTTTTGACATTTTAAGTTGCCAGTTTTGTTGTTTTTTTCTTGGTGGATATTGGCGTGAACATTTTGAAAGAAAAAAATTCTGTTTTGTCTTTTGGCCACACATGCCACAACCAGCTGGAAGAGTTTTTCCACCAGAATCTCACATGTACATCGAACCAGAGAATCTCCAGGCCTTCAGTAAAGTCATGTGCGTAAAGAAGCTCCCATAGGAAAATGTGTGACTGTACAAAATTATTACCAAGGGATGAAAAACAAGTTGTTGTTCTTTCTGTTTTGCTTTTTATCTTTTTATCATGTGCAGCACATTTGGTGCTTTTATACTCAGGAAGACACATCATGGGTGAAACTGGCAGTCAACCTCATAGCTGAGCATTTCTTCTTTGAAACTGTACTATACCTTCTCAAAAACCCCAGATTCAGACTTTCTGGGTTTTATATGTAACAAACCCGAGGAACCAATCCTGTTAACTTTCTGTCTCGTTCTTCTTCTTCTTCACAATGGTTCAAACATGTTTACCTAAATGACTCCAATGTTGCATCTAAATCAATTTAAGGCAGCAAGCGATCATTTTCATGAAAAGAAGTTTTCAACACTGTGTATGTGTGTATACTGTTTTTACACTGTAAAAAAAAAAGAAACCTATTTCATATTTATACTTTTTTCATGTTTTTGGGTTGTTGTTGTTGTTGTTTTTTTTTTTTTTTAAACAAACGACTGATATTTTACAGATTTTCCGTGTTGTGTTAAATTACACATAATAACTAGTAAAATTACAGAAAAAAATATGAATTTACATGTTACCTTCAAAAGCACACTAAAACCATGAATAATTTCAACATCAGAAATATGTATTTTTGCAAATAGTAATTTGTTATTTTACAATGTGTGACTGTAAAACTAGTTGACTGTATTTAAATCAACTAAAAATATAAGCATTTTACAGATATTGGCCATTATTTTCACAATTTTCAGTTGTTGAATATTGTTGTTTTCCACCACTTTTCAGCCACATTTCTACTGCTGACCAACAATTTTCTTAGATGATAGCAACTTTATTCATCTTTAAGTAGTATTAAAATGATTTTATAGGTCTGAGGAAATCAAAATAAGTGGATATGAGGTAAGATGATTCAACATTCTTACAGTACAAAAATAATTTTTTAATGAGTTTTTTTTTTTTTTTTTTAATAAATAAGAACATACATATATAAACCTATCTTTACTGTTCACATGAGAACCGTTTGGAGGGTTCTCCATTTGTTTAAACAAAATTTCCATTAACGTTGTCAATGCTCCTGTTAATGTTAGATTTCTGATAAATTGTGTACCAATGCAGTAACATATCAGCTAACCTGCAGTAAACAATAAAACAAAATAAAAATGTCTGCCCAAAAGGCTAACAAGCTGACTTTATGCTAAGCTAATGCTGTTGTGCTATACTAGCATGCTGTAGCACTACCTAGCTAGCTTAAATTATTTGCATTGCTGCTTATTTGACATTAAGTTTAGAATATAAGTGATAATAAAGTTCACTTTTGTCCCCAGTCCCTCAATTGTAGATACATGGGCAAAAAAATTAAAAAGAAATATAAAAAATATTTTTTATATTTTTTTGATGTTTCATTTAAAGTCAAAGCTACTTTGCCCAAGACCTGGGGCACTTTTCAAGATTTTATTTTAATTAAAATAAAGCTGTGGTCTGCTATGATTTAATTATGCTTTGAGTTTGTTCACTAAACCTACTTTTTGTCGACATAATATCATATTTTAAATAAAGGGGGCGTCTTTCCCCGGTTTACCCTCAAACTCTGTGCCGGTGCTAACGTGTAGTGTCGCCGGCTGCTCTGCCCGCTGTCGCCCCCTGCCGGTGAGCTCCGGTGGCTCCGCGGTCGGACCGTCCCACCGCCGCCCGCAGAGCTGCGCTCCCAAGTTCACACAGCGCCGGCGGTGTTTGCTAGTTTGTAGAGTCCCACGACTGGAGCGCTGCCGTCACTATTGTTGTTCTCTGGATGGACGCGCCGACTTCACAGCAGCTTTCACTCACAGTTTCTGGCCTCCAGCAGTGAAACTTTTCTCGCCTTGTTTCTGCCTCCAGAGTGTTTTTTTTTTTTTGTCGATGGCGGGTCTAACCAAGATGGACTCGGCTTGTGGAGACTAGATAACGGCAGCTCCCTGAATGTGGACCGGATTCGTTTCTGCGCTGGAAACCTGCCGTCTGTGAGTGGATGTAGCCGGACTGGGCCTTTTCCATCCCAGGGGTCACCATCCTAGGAATGAACATTTTCCCACTGGAGTTTCGGTGAACTTTTTCCCACGACTCGCCATGTCGGGAGTGGTCCGCACCCTGAGCCGCTGCCTGCTCCCGGCCGAGGCCAGCCGGGACCCGGGCGGCAGCAAGGAGGGCAGCAGGGAGAGGGACGCGGCGCAGGAGCGGGAGGCGCGGCGGAGGAGCCGGGAGATAGACGCTATGCTCGCCCGGGAGAGGAGAGCCGTCCGGCGGCTGGTGAAGATCCTGCTGCTCGGGGCCGGAGAGAGCGGAAAGTCCACATTCCTGAAACAGATGCGCATCATTAACGGGCAGGAGTTTGATCAGAAAGCCCTGCTGGATTTCCGGGACACGATCTATGAGAACGTCCTGAAGGTAAGGGAGCAGTGGGGGGGCTGGGGGGGCCTCCGAGGAAACTCTAGTCCTCCACTCATGTTTGGAGCCCTGGTTATTGAACTTTAAATCACGGTGTATAAGTAAAGGACAACATTTAGGAGGCTTATTGATCAGAGCTGAAAGATTAGTCGATTGATCAAGTCGTGTGTATTGGCAAGAGCTTAAAGGAGTTGACAGAATTAATCACCAGCAGTTTCTCAGGTCATTTAACCCTCAGAGATCCAAGCATTGATTTTATTGATGGTTTTTTTCTTCCCTTTAAACTGTTCAAAATCATGACTTTTTTTATTTTTATTTTTTGGAGGCTTCTGTAAAAATGTCCCATATTTGCAACAGAGGCTTTTACAGATTGAGTTTTATGTCCATTAGGCATTGATGACACTATTATATTAAAATATGTCTCAAAAAAATGGATTTTATTGCCTTGAAACAGTCTGATATAGCACAATAACAAAAAAAGAAGAAATGAACGAGTTGAAATTGTAAATGTAATGCCTGCTATGCTGCAAAGTATTAGCAACACTTTTACATGTAATTCAGTCCAACACAGCACCACCCAGCATGACCTGAATGATTAACATGAAGAACAGTCATCAGCTGTCTCACAACACAGACTGAAAACTGAAAATCTGGTTTCAGAGCTGCTGGATTGGATTATATTAGATTCTAGAGGTGGATCAATGACTTTGAATGACAATAAATTCATGATTTTGACTCAGTTATGAGCCTTTTCAGTGAATAAGTGGCAGCCATTGAAGCCCAGTGTGTCATTTTTGCAAATCATGTGTTCTGCTTTTTCAAAAAATATTAAAGTTTCCATCACTAAACATCTTTAGAATAAAATAGTATCATACTGCAGGTTGAATACTTTGTTAGAAATCTGCTGTTTGAACTGTCCCACTAATGATCTTATAGTGATGCAGGTCAGATTGTGGGATGTTTGGAGGTTTTGTCTACAGTCAGGCAGGAATAGGTCCAACTAGACAGCTTCACTGTGGGCCAAGGAGGGTTAAGCCATTTTTTAAAGAAACATTAGTCAAATTAACTAATTCATGATGCTTTTTCTTCATCTTTTATGGTGGGAATGTTTGTTCAAGCAAACAAACAGGTGTCAACTTAGACTCTTGGTCTTTTTTTTGTTCTGTTTAGGACATTTTATTGACAAAGTCACTGGTTGGTTAATCAATAGTAATCATTCGTTGCAGCCCTGTGCTGTTTTCATCCACAGCTGAGGTTCACACACTCACTCAGACACACACACACACACACACAGAGGTCTGTTGACATAGTGCATATTTTTATCCTGAAGTGTGTGTGTGTGTGTGTGTGTGTGTGTGTGTGTGTGTGTGTGTGTGCGCTGTCCCTTTGTTTGCTGTCATGGCTGGGCCTCCTTCACCAGCTAACAATACCAGACTATTCCTGAGGGATGAGCACATCCGCCCTGAGTGCCACACAGCCCAGACAAGGACGATAAGAGCCTGCACTTCTACACAGACAAGACAGCATTCAATAGCCCCTCCACCCACAAACACAGGCATACAGTGGCGGTCCTGTCTCGGACCAGATCATGAACACAATCCGCCCACACACACCCACACTTTAGCACCACCCTACCTCCAGATAGCACGCACAATGCACGATGTGTCGGAGCTCGTTGGCGAGGCAAGGAGAGCGAGAAATTACATGATTTAAAATGTGATCTGACTGTAATGGGCTTCGGGTTTAATGCGGTATTTGTGTCCAGTGGAACCAGCAAACAGAAATATGAACGTGATGCTACATGCCTGTAATTCCCCAGCTCAACTTGTCATTATTTATCATCCTGAGAATATTAAGGACTAATATTCCTGGTAGGGTTGCAAGTGGCAGTTATTTTCATTAATGATTAATCTAGCTGTCATAATTAATCATTTAGTCTTTGAAATACCATAAGAAAGGGAAAAAATCTCCAAAACGATGTCTTCAAAGTACTTGTTTTGCCTGATAGACAGTTAAAAACTAGAAAATATTCAGCTTGCATTCCTATAAAACACAGAAAGAAGCCAACAATGTCAGACAGTTATCTCAACTACCTGACTAATCAGTTCAATATTTTCTTGAGTGGGTGATACCTCTTTAAGAACAGAGTAAAAAATGCCCATCACTATCTCACATAAAGTCGATTGTCGCTCCCAACTCAAGTATATTGTCAGTTTCCAACCACTTAAGATAACGGAACAGCTAATCCTGTGCTGTCTGTGGCTTGGACTGTTGGTGGAGGATTAGTCTCACCTGCCAGGTGTCGAGGATTCCCCGCTTTCATGGGAACCTAATGACAGAGAAGGAGAACAAAGCGGGAAAAGAAGAAAGGATGAGGCTGAGAGAGAGCGCACAGGTGTGTGGCACAGTTAGGCTTATGAAAATAAACAGAACAGAGGCGGAGTACAGGTGTGGTCCTGATTCTTGGATCTCACTAATTATACCTCCAGTGACAGATAAATCTCTGGAATAATCTTATAATCAAAGTGGAAACATTTTTTTTTTTCCGCACACATTGTTTTAAGTTACTTTATGTCTGTCAGGCCTCAGATATTAAGTAAAGGTTTGCTGAATGATTTACTTCAGGGTCGATGGTGATCCACCAACCTACAGGCTGCACATGTTTGCTAGGAAACAGAACATACATACTAACAGTAACATACGATCAGCGCTAATATCCTGCTTTTCTAAAATGTGCGTGTGATGGCTTGATCTCCTGTCTCATCTCTGGTAGCTTATTTTCCTGTGTCATCAGCTTTCTTGGCATTCTTTGGTTAAACCCTGTTAATTAAAGCTGATACAGAGGCACTGCTTGCAGGCTTGTGATGTGTTTGTGGCTGGTGTTGAGTACCATCCTCCTCATGCGCTGTGTAGGCTCAGAAGGCAGCCATCGCGTTAGAGGTGGAGGTCAGTGCAGTTCACGGGGCGGATAATATTAATGCTGCAAGAGAGCGTTCTAATTACAACACAGTGATAAATGAAACTGAACTTGGCCAGTGCCGGCCATCTGCCGAAGGCAACTGTTAATAAGGCTGCTGACCACACCATCGCTGTGAGAAGTCATCAAGTCAGACATCCGAATTTCATGTTTTTTAGCCCCATGTGGTTTGACACTGAGTGCCAGTGACACATGAGACGGATCCCAGGAGCTGCTGCTCTCTCTCAGAGAATGTTTCTGACTCAAAATAGTGTCTCTCATAGCGTTGCTGTCTGTGGTCGGGGTGAGGGTAAAGCTTGGTTGGGTAAGACACAAATACCAAATCAGCCCATTTCACTATGTTCATGTGAGTTTACATTCTGACCGTTATCTCTCAGCCACATCTACTGTATAACAGAGCGTAAATAAATTATAAAAAAATAGATGATGAAAGTCTCACATGTCCCCAGAGTGTATGTTTCAATTTTCAGCTGAAAGTACCACAAAGATGGTTCATGTTTCTATGACAGTATAACCCCTGGTTTCAGTGTCTGTAGCTTCAAACACAGCTGAGCTGCTGCTGCTGTCTATGACCCCTTCAGGAAGAAGACTCGCTCTGCACCTGTGATTGATAGTCCGAAGTAAAACAGTAACCATACAGCAGCTGACACAGACGTAAATAAGTGTGTGAGACCAAGACATTATGTTACCGTAATTTCCAGACTATTGAACACGCCTGAATATAAGCAGCACCCACTGTCTTTAAAAAGAAAACACATTCTGTACATGTATAGGCCGCACTGGTCTATAAGCTGCAGGTGTCCATGTTGTAACATGAGATATTTACACAGAAAGATTTTTTTAATTAAATACGTACCGGTAACATACACAAATACGTACCGTAAATGCTTTTTTCCGAACAGTGCCTGTAACACAGCTGGTTAAAAAAATACCAGGAAAAGTCGTTGATGGCTATCTTCATCTTCCTCCTGCGCACTGAAACCACTAAAGTCGTCGTCTTCAGGGTCAGAATTGAGCAGCCTCAGAATGACTTAGTCACACACTTCCTCAGTCTCTCTTTCATTGTCGCTCTCAATGGCACTTTTGTCTCGAGGCAATTTCGTAAAAATCATAAAAGTCCATAAATTAGCCGCATCATCATTTAAGCCGCAGTGGTCAAACCGTGTGGAAAAAGTAGCAGCTTCTAGTTCGGGTTTTACGATACTTCTAACTTGTGATTGCTGGGTAACATATAGTCCTAACTGGCTGCATTTCAGTCATTGTTTCATGCTAGTCCCTTGTCTGACAACAGAAACAGCAACATATGTAAATGAGAACAGCAGGAGAAAAGCAAACAAATGTAAACACCTACTGAGGTTGCACTGAAGCACAACAGGTGACATGAAAACACAGTAACCCACCCAGTCCTTGTTTATCGGTATCAAAGTGGTATTAAAGTTTCCACCATAAGAGTTCTGACCTGTGCACGATCAAAACCCACGATAACGTTAGCCACACAAACACCCAAGTTTTTCATATTGTTGTTGGGACATTGTCATTAAAAATAAAAGTAATGGGCTTGAGGTCTTTATGTCTCAGCAGTTTTTACTTTACACCTCCAAGTTTATAAAAAGCACAGACCTCAATAAAATAGATTTTCACCATATGGGACCTTTGAAATGAAATATCAGTGTTGGTCCAAAATGAGCACTGACAGGCAGAAAATATTTAGTCTTGTTTGATGATGTTACATAAATATGAATGTTTTACATGTAAGTTGAAGCATCTTTCTTAGTTTTGTGTTCATCTGATAAGGATTGTGTCTTATGTCCACTTGTGCCGGTGAGTCGTAACAACAAGTGTAGGGGTAATAAAATGTTATTGTACTACAGGAGGAGCTTGATGGTCTGTGGAGTAAGGTCGGAAAAATCTATCACCATCAGTCAAAATGAGATGGAATATGTTTGTTTATGAGAGATCAGCAAATTATGATATTGGGCATCCCTGTAACGGGTTCAGAAGTTTTACAGACTGAGGCTGCGTTCCTGTTCCTGAGTGAAACCGATCACTGAGCCAAGGCGAGTTTTGCACTAATACGCTCCTTAAAAGCAAGTAAAGTCAGACTTTTCCATGTTTATTACCTAAAAATCCTTCTTAAGCTGGCAACAAAAGGCTAAATACCAGCGATAAAGCAGGATTAGAGTAAATTATGCTCAAGTTTACAAAAGGTGTTTTCAGCACTTGAGGGACAACTGCCAAACAGCAAACAACTAAATGGATGGTGTAAACATCTATGCAACATCCGTGTGTCTGAGTAATTACCGTTATGTTCGGGCTAACAGAAAACAAAGTAGCTTGGTTTTTATTATTTACAGCTCGCGGTGTGTTTTTTTAATAATATTCTGGCTCATCTGACATCCACTAGTGACTCATGGCCACCTGAGTACAAACACAGTGCAGCTGTAATATTTCTCAACTATGGGATCATCTGAATGACCCATTTACAAATTCACTTGCTCACTTAAGAAAACAGAAAGGATGCTCTGCTACTGCTCGGGTAAGCAATCTTTCTTGGACATATTTGGAGAAAACAGAAGTCGGTGAGGTTGTGAGTTGTTTTAAGTAGGTTTGAGGAACGCTTAGTGACAAAGACGAGGGCTGACCAGCAGGAAAACAAGACAGCCATGCAAACACGCAGGCCGCAGGAAGAGAGGCAGACATGAATATGGAGGATTATGCGACCAATGCTGGAGATAATTGATAACCCTCACGTCGGCTCACAGACGGAAACAGAGATCACAGTGTGGCTGTGACTCAAGGCTCGCTCACAGTGACTCTCTCAGTCGTTTTATTGCGAGGACCTGCATGTGTGTCCGATTGTGGCAGCGTGTCTTTGTGTTTAGGATTTCCTCGCTTGTTTTAGGTCACTCATTCCTAAAAACAAAAGCATCAATTCTGTAAAAAAGCCTCAAATAGGCGATCAGACTTTAAAGCACACCGCAGCTCTGAGTCATAAAGAGCATCCCGGTCAGGACTGCACACACACACACACACACAAGCTCAAACATCGCTGCATCAGTAAGAAATACCTTTTTTACACTCACTCCTCCTGTTGCGAACCCATCGCTCTCAGCTGGGGGAATCTCTCTTTGAATTTCCTTGTCTGATGTTGCTCGGGGTTATGAGCAGATTTTTCTTGTCTTTCTAAAGACAAGGTTGAGCTGGGTCAGCTGCTGTTGAGTGAAGCCTATTGAATGTGAGATTAAACTGTGCAAACAAACTTGACTTGACCATTGCAAAAGAATTATGTGGTCATGAGTCACTGACAGACACGCTGTGACCCCTCAGACACTTGTGGGTTGCTCACTGCTCAGTCCACATCTGTGTGATGCTATGAAATGTGATTCACACTGCAGTAAGTTATCAGAGACTGGGATGAAAACTCGCTCCAGCATGTGAGAAAGCTGCAGTTGACTTTCAGACAGTTTCGTGGAAGACATTCGTAGCCTTGCACTCGGTTGTTCACATAAAAAAAGTGGCAGAAAACAGTTGTGAGACAAATGACTGAGAGAAAAGTTAAAGCTCCTTCCTCGCCTCCGCACAGCTGGCCAATCACTGTGCGATGTGGGTGTGAATGTCGGATCATCAGTCTCGGAAAGTTACAGAAATGGTGAGACACAGAACTCTCTAATCCTACATCTGAAAGGAAACACCAAGATGACGGTGGAACACTTTAGTAGTTGTTGAAATGGAATAGTTGGCAGGAATAAAAGAGAAATAAAAGCAGAAACGCTCAATATCTGTGTGTGTTGTTAAGAGTGAACTCTCAGGAGGAGACCTCCCACGCAGATCAGTCCACATGTTTCTCTTTACAAAACCACCAGCAGCTACACATGTTTGGAGTGTGTGTTGGACACATGCTCTCCCATGTTAAAGTCGCTCCATGTTTACCAGTAATGCTACGTCTCAGCGTTGACGTTTTCTCCAGGAAGCAGCGTGAACGTTCTCCTCCAGCTTGGTCAGGAAGTATTTGTACGTCTTCCACTGTCCTGATTGTGTGCCATTCGCTGTGTGTTTCTGCAGGGCATGCGTGTGCTGGTGGACGCCCGGGACAAACTGGGCATCAGCTGGCAAAGCTGCGAAAACGAGAAGCAGGGCATGCTGGTGATGTCGTGGGAGGGACGCGTGGGCGCCTCGGGGGTCGAGCCCATCGAGTTCCAGCTGTATGTGATGGCACTGAGCGCGCTGTGGGCCGACGCCGGCATACAGGAGGCCTACGCACGGCGCTCCGAGTTCCAGCTGGTGAGTAGATCAGAGATGTGGTTACCAGGCTTGTTTTGTTTTATGCAGCCTCACAGGCTTGTGAAGCTTCATTACTACCACCTGTTAACTTCTTCATGTGTTTACTCGAACTTGATGCCATTTAACCCAAATAATTGTATGAGATGTGATATTTTATGTAAATTCTTTATTGCGAGATGCACTAGTCTCAGATTTCTTTATGTTTTTTGTTTTATTTCTCGTAGCTTTGATGCGGTTTGCATTCATCTACTAATTTATGCAATTTAGTTTGACTTTTTTTGCTCTCTGACTAGTTTCCATGCACATATAATTGTAACATTTAATGTTAGGCCATGCACTGTTGTAGCTGCAAGACCTACTTGTGCTTATTTTTACTCCCTAATACCTTTTTTCTGGCGAATTCATATTTTTTAGAAGTAGGTTCAGTTGGAATTCGCTGCGCTGTTGCAGAGTATTTCCTCATACCCTGTGGCAACTGCAGAAGGGCCTCATGAGGTCCAAGCACACCTAGTTGGGAATCAATAGATTAAAGGATGGAGGTGTAAGTAAATAGAGGGATAGCAGAGCTAAGCTCTTTATGACTTGTGAAAGAGTACCGCACCCAGAAAGGGTATTTTTTTGGGTCTGCTGTGCACTCTCCTAACCTGAAATGATGAGAAAAAGTTTGTGTGCTTATTCCATCACAGAGAAAGAGCCTTATAGGGATCCAACAATGTGGTTTGTTTGGGATAATAGCCATTATTAGTAATCAAAGATACCAATAACTAATATGGGATGGGATGCATTTGGCATCAGAATTTAGAATAACACAAACTCCAACACAATGCTTCTTGAAAAGCCTTTATTTATTTAACATTTACATAAAAGAGAACCTTTGAACAGTCATCGTCCAGTGTTGATAGACTGTCACTGGTAATCTATAACATATCAGATAATGCTGAGGACTGGACATTGATCGATACTCATGGAGAGATGTGACTGGTGATGATTAGTTGGTTTTATCAGATTTAGAAAAAAAGAAATAACAATACAGATAATCGGTAAAACGCTATATATTCTGTCTGATATTCAGTTGACTCCTAGATGCTCCCAAAAGCGTTGGCTGTGTTTTCTTAACCTGATCAGTGACCTGTTTCCACGAAAAGATAAACAGCTTCAAAGCTTCTCAGTAATGTCCTAAACTACTCCTGCAGCGCTCTAAAGCTGTAGCTCCCAATCTGTTCAGCTTGTGGCCCCCTAAAACAAATATCTCCTTAAGATCCATCTTAAGGAGATATTTGTGTGCTTATTTCTACAAGGCTAAAAGAATTAACAGAGTGACTAAATATTTAGTTACACATAATAATGCCGTATATTGTCTGGATGTCTCAGATGTGTTTATCGCTCTGTGCTGTTCACATCCTTCTCATCATCTTGTGACTCCGTGGGTGTGTTTTCTAGGGTATTTAATCAGCACTCTCTCAATGCCCCAAACCAATTTATTGTATGGTAAAAATATTCCAAAACAAAACATTTGCTCAAATGCTAAATCCTCCAGTGAATGTTCCAGCCTCCTCTTCGTTCTTTCATTAGCAATCATAAATGAGTCAGATAAGTCAGAGGTTGCTCACTGGCTGACCTGACGCTTCACGTAATGCGTCACAGCAGACATCAGATAAGTCACCTTTGGCCGAGCACTGTTTGTTGCTCCTACAGACAGGTGACAATTAAAGGCAACGCCCGACCCCTTGACCCCTACAGGGACGGGATCTGATGGCTTTGTTGTACGTTTTGTTGGCTGGGTTTGGGTTCGCTTGTCCCCTGTGGAGGGAAGGTTCACTGCAAATCAATACAAAGCTGTTGTGAGCGATCACCTCCCTGATCCTGATGGGAGTGGTCTCTTCTAGCGTGACAATGCTGCTGTCCACAGGGCATTAGGGGTCACGGAAAGGTCTGATGAAAATGATGTGAATTATATACTATGACCTTCACAGTCACCAGATCTCGATCCATTAAAACACATTTTGGACCGACGTGTTGGACAGCTCTCTCTCATCAAAACACCGAATCAGAAAATATCTTTTGGAAGAACAGTGTTCAGTAGTGTTGCAGACATTTGGAGAATGAATGGCCTGGAGCACTGAAGCACATAGTGGCACTTTATGTCTTTCTTTAAATTGTTACCTGTCTGTCTATATGAAATGGAACAGGGCTTTCAAGATATTAATGCAATGCCAGACAACAGTATCAGTTTATAAGTAATGATTTAACCTTTTTCGTTCTTGGTTATCCATTCTTTATCGTTCCTGCTGTTAGCTATCAACTGATTGTAATCAGCGACAAACCCTGCACTTTCAACTGTCTCTGCTTTGTGGTTCTGCAGCGGCGAGCAGCAGCACATATCTGCACGGTAACTGATTTACCTCCGTGTGTTGTCACTGATTTAATGATCACTGACGTGCTCAGAACACCAGAGAAAGTAACTGGATCACATCACAAGTGTTTATACCTGTCAGCTGAAAAAGAAGTCGCAGTGAGTGAGGCCGCTGGAAGCTTTTATTGTTTTCCTGTGTAACTTACCTCTCTCTCTTTTTTTTTTTTTTTTTTTTTTGTTTGGAGACTTTCCAAAGATGTAATTATTTTTCTCTTGACTGGAAATGGAGCCAGTGAAGTGGAGCCCTGTGGAGTTTCATCTGCCACGTTACACGCAGCAAACACAATCTGAAACGGCTCAAAGATGGCAGTGCAATTCTTTTTCCTTTTAACCCTAATATTATAAACACACTCTGATCAACACCAGTGGGAAGCACACATCATCACTGAAGGTTCTCTCTGCTTTTATTGTACACCTCGTGAATAGATGGAAAATAAAACAATATCTTTACTGAAAATGCCTCAAGGTGTTTTTGAAGCGGAGTTTGATAAAGAAAACAATGGCGCTTTTCCTTAGACCTTTTCTTAAAATTGAATACTTCAAAGCCTCAAAATCACAATCAAAGGGCAGATTATTACACCAGTACGTACGTGTGCTTTCTTTTTGTTTTCAGTGATTGGAAGAAGTCCAGCTTCTGGTTCATCAATCGCTTTGCAGAGATTATTGTTTTAGCTGATTCACAAAATCCTTTGCTGCACTTTGTGTTTCGTGTTAATTAGCTAGCGTTAACATGCTGAGAAGCTAAGCTAAGATGATGACCATTGTAAATACTGGCTTGTTAGTAATGTTGCTGTGAGCCTGGTAGGAAGCTGAAATCAGCATTAGCTCAAAGCACTGCCAGAGATGTTAAAAGGGAGAGGCTAGACACTTAAAGAGTCCTGAATAGAAACCTATGGGAGAATAACCTCAAAGATTGTGGTTGTATGACACAGAAATCCAATCGTCTGCTTTATAACAGCGGTACAGGTAAATATCCAGCCAGTCGTGTTGTTGACTCAAATGTAGTGTAACTGTTCATGTAGTTCAAGTGGGGAAAAATGCTTCTTAAACTTTATTTTGGCATAAAGTTACCAAACAGTTTTAATCACATTTGACTGGTGATTCTATGCATGCAGTGGTAATGTCCCAATAGTCTGACTCACCAGATGGAGACTGTGGGTATGAGCCTGCCATTGGCCAAACATTTCACGTAGCGTGTACAATTTTCTGGGTGCCGCGATAGCTCACCACGTTGAGCTGGCATCCCTCGGACATCGGGCAAATGGAGTTTGCATGTTCTCCCCGTGCAGCGTGTGTTCTCTCCGGGTTCTCTGGCTTCCTCCCTCCATGCTGAGGTTAATTGGTGATTCTAAATTGTCCGTAGGTGTGAATGTGAGTGTGCTTGGTTGTCTGTCTCTAAGTGTGGCCCTACGATGGACTGGCGACCTGTCCAGGGTGTCCCCTGCCTTCGCCCTAGTGAGGATTAAGCGGTGTATAGATAATAGATGGATAATGGATGTACAATTTTCAAAATCTCCTTCACTAAGGAAAACAACAAAACAACAACAACCTTCAAACAGCAAACAGCAACCACCAAGAAACGTTTTGGATTTGGGTCCCATAGTAAGGCAGCCTTGCTAGTTTTTTCTTTTATTTGTTTTTTTCCTGTAAAATTGCCACTTACATGACAGTTCTCACCTCCCTGTGTGCAAATGTGCCACCCAAATAGTCCATCATTGCTTTGAGGAAACGCTTTTGCTACATCCTTTTCTTCTCCGCCCAAACGACTGTGATTGGTTTCAAGAAATACCACCATCTCCCGATAGTAGAATGATAATGAGGTGCAGCCAGACTATTCTGAGCTGCAGAGCGGTCTGATTATGCAGCACCAGTGTCCTGCTAATAATTGTAATTGCAGTTATGGCTTCATCCCCCATTCATTCAGATAGGGACTTGGTCTTGTTCGCCCAAAATAACTGGCTGGGAGTGTTACCAAGATGGCTGCTGAGTGTCAAGATTTGCCTAGAAGGACTTTGGATGTGCATCATGGAGCTGCCGTCGTGGCTGTAGAGTCACAGTCTTGTTATGTAATTGTTACAGGACTGTGACTCTTCAGCCACATCTAGAAGCAGTTCATGTCAAAGAGGGCAAATATATTACATTAGTTGAGGAGAGAAGAGCTGTCACGTTGTGTTTTTGTTTTTGTGTCACTGAAATCCTCCAAGGTTTCATGTAACAATGGCCAGAATGAGACACCAAGGACGCCTGGCAGCTCTTTGGCTGTTGTCTTTATTCAGATCACGCCTTGCTGTTATTCCAGATGTCTTAGCTCATCTTTTTTTCCTGCTGTCTTCAGAGACCCAAACAAAGTGAGACTGCTTGAAAGTAGCCACTTACAGTAGTTTAAACAACATTTTGTGCTCAACAGAACGGCTACAGAAACCATTAGTTCAACAAGTGTCCACGACTACGCGCTGAAGGGCCAGACAGACTGTTAATGACACCTAATGGTTCAGCAGAATGTCATGAATGATCACTAACCATATTGTCCACGCAGCCAATGTCTCACAGCGGAGCATCAGCAGCTGGGCTTGTTGTCATTGCGCTG